GGGGCGGGCCCCAGCCATTTAAATTTAAATGAAGCCGCGATTATTTTAATCGCGGCTTCATTTCCCTTTTCCGATCTGGCTAATCTACATGCCTCCGTCGAAGGAGGCATGTAGTCTAGACACACCCTTAGAGAAAGAAGTTGATGTATGAGATCAGAAACTCCACCCCAAATAGGGGCTCAGTTTTTAAGCACACACCCGATAATAAAAAGTGATACATAATGGTGTTACCTTAGCAAGATTTCAGGGAAGGAGCTGTTGTTGGAAGATTCTGAGAATTTATTTGGTTGTGTTCAATGTAGAAGTTTTACATACTGATTTCTAGAATTGTTTAATTTCTCTGGACTGACAAACTTATTTTTGTTTTGTATAACTTGCATCTTGCCTAGTCAGTTACTTAGCTTTGGACAGAATGAAAGAAAGGTGATGCAGTCAAGAAAAATAACCATTAGCAAGAATCTGAATGTCAATACATTTTAGTTCTTTCATCTTGGAAAGAGATATTGCCCAAATATACTTTCTAAGCTTCACAAGAACACTTTTTCCCAATAGAGGTAGAATTGGTTGATTTGCAAAAAACCACTTTAATACACCATCAACAGATTTATAATGAAAGTCAGCTAGAAAGGGAAAATGCCAACTTATTTAGTCCAACTCAGACAAATGGGAACTATTATCTGGATTTTAAATATCAACGTCTGCAAATCCACCACTTAATCCAGAAGAAATAGAGCAGCTAATATAAATAATCCACAATTAGTCACACTCCTATGCAATCTGTATTCTCCCTAGGATGCCTTAACTAACATTACTTCCTAGAACGATGTATATTTGTACAGCTCTTCTTAAACATGAAGAATAAGTAGAAAGTCTTCCATCTTTTAGCAATGCAGTACAGTACTAGAAACAATGGAAAATAGCAATCAAATAGATTTGTTTTTCAAAATTCTGAGATGGGGGAGTGTGTGTGAGAGAGAGTGAGTGAGTGAGATAAATCAAACAATAGAAAAATAAACAAAAATGAAAAAAGCAACCAGAAAGACATCGGTAGGATCTAGTTGAGTGTATAGAATGGACAACTTCCAATTTTTCTGTATTGCTAAGTATGCTGGACGAGATCCTCAGCTAGTGTAAATCAGCATAGGAGGACATATGAAAATGGAATTATGGACTTTACATCAGCTGAGGGTCTGGTCCAAAGTTGTTTTTTCCTCCAACAAAACCTTAATTAGGGCTCAGCAAATTGGCTATATCTGCTTTCGCAATTATAAGAAGCCAGGAAAAATCTGTATCTGCATGAATGAGCTGTGCCCTGAGTGTACAGTCAAACCTCCTGGGGGGAAAAGGTGTACCCTGCCATCACCCCTTTAAATATGCTTTGTAAAGTAAAGCTCTTTAGTGAGCATGGAGACCACACAGGGTATCTGTTTCTTCTCACTGTAGCGTGGGTCATCCGACTGTGATTCAAAGTTGATAGCCACCATGTAGTTGACCCTGGTGAGGATCTGCATTAATTCAAGTTGTTTCCCAAATTCATTTAGCGTGGAGCATAGAGACTGCACAAACCAAGAGCCTCTCCCTGGGTTCCTCCAGGAATAATAACCTAAAAGAAGAAAGAGATAAGGAAGCACATGAATTATCTTTCCTCTCTAAGGGGGGGAATAGGACTCTGGGTTAAAAAAAGGATTGCTGGTAGATAAATTCATGGAGGACAGGTCCCTGTTCTGTTCATTCCCTCTGAAGCACCTGGTACCAGTCACTGTGGGAAGATCGGATACTGGGCTAGATGGACTACTGATCTGACCCACCATAGATATTTCTATGTTCTTATGACCCATTTTTGAAGCACCTTATATAAAGGCCAATCATTCTTAGCTCTTACAGCATCACAGAATACTAGAATTGGAAGTTAAGTTGACTGGTCCGTAGTTTCCTCGGTTGTTCTTATTTCCCTTTTTATAGACAGGCACTATGTTTGCCCGTATCTCTCCTAACTTTCATGACTCTTCAAAGATGATAGTTAATGGCTCAGATACCTCCTCTACCAGCTCCTTGAGTATTCTAGGATGTATTTCATCAGGCCCTGGTGACTTGAAGATATGTCTGGATAGCTGAAGATATCTAACTATTCTAGTTTTTAACCTGTTCTTTTCCTATTTTAACTTCTAAATCTACTCCATTTCCACTAGCATTCACTATGTTAGGCATCCAGTCACAGTTAATCTTTGTGGTGAAAACCAAAACAAAGAAGTTGTTAAGCACCTTTACAATTTCCAAGTTTTCTGTTCTTGTTTTTCCCTCTTCACTGAGCAATGGGCCTCCCCTGTCCTTTGTCTTCCTCTTGCTCCTAATATATTTGTAGAATGTTTTCTTGTTACCCTGTATATCTCTGGGTAGACTGAACTCATTTTGTGCCTTTGTCTTTCTAATCTTGTCCCTGCATACCTGTGTTTGCTTATACAGGCAGTCCCCGGGTTACGTACAAGATAGGGACTGTAGGTTTGTTCTTAAGTTGAATCTGTATGTAAGGGTATGTCTACACTACAAAGTTAGTTCGAACTAACGGACGTTAGTTTGAACTAACTTTAATAGGCGCTACACTAGCGCTTCGCTAGTTCGAATTTGAATCGAACTAGCGGAGCGCTTAGTTCGAACTAGGTAAACCTCATTTTACGAGGATTAAGCCTAGTTCGAACTAGCTAGTTCGAATTAAGGGGTGTGTAGCCCCTTAATTCGAACTAGTGGGAGGCTAGCCCTCCCCAGGTTTCCCTGGTGGCCACTCTGGCCAACACCAGGGAAACTCTACTGCCCCCCTCC